GTCGGCTCGGCTCCCGCGCGGGCTTCCCACCTGCCCCGGCTGCCGGGCGCAGGCAGACGGGCTTGCACGCGTCTCCGGCCGCTCCTCCTCCAGCCGCCGCCGATGCTATCGCCCGGGCTCGCACAAAGCCCCGGAGTGGAGTTGCACGCGCGCACACACTCCCTCCCAGCCCCCTCCCCCCGCGCCCTGCCTCCCGCCTCCCGCGCCGCCCGCCGCTCGCGCTCCCTCCGCTCACTCCCCCGCGCACACTCGCCCGGGCGCACACTCGCGCGCTCACACCTGCACAGGGGGCGGGGAAGGGGACCCTGGACCCGGTGTGGGGGTGGGGACGCCCCGAAGGATCGAGAATCTCCTCAGCTGCCCAGACTCCCCCATCTGCCCTGCCGCCCCCAGGTCCCTTCTAATGCGAGGGCACGGAGCCCGAGAGCCAGGCGTGGAGCGTGAGAGCTGGCACTGCGAGCCGGGAGACGGTGGCAGCCCAGCGGCCCGACCAGCTGGAGGAGACGCGTCCGCCGGGAGCCGCGAAAGCTGGAGCCCGCCGTCTACTGAGCCTCGGCTTTCAGCTCCCACGCGGCCGGTGCTGGCTGGACGGCGGCGGCTGGAGACTGATCGCGAGCTGGTTTCCCTCCTCCCCATCTCAAGCCCGTGGGAAAGTGGGGTTGGCCCTGGGGCTGGGGTATGAGGGAAACAGAATTCAGAGAACTGTGAGTGCTGGGCTAGGGAAGCTTCAGGAGTTAAAGGGGTGAGAGAGACCAGGCCAGACCCTCCTTGTGGAAGGCAGGACTTGTCTGCGCACGACCAGATCACTACGGAGGCTGCGGAGAAAGACCGCCAAAGCTTTCGCTTGCGAGGGGCGCTGGAGTTGGAGCCCGCTGCTTCTCAGCCCTCTTCCGCAACTATGCGGGAGGGACTGGAGCCCCCTCCCGGATTCCTTCTGAGTCACAAAGAGAAACTGCTTTTCCGTGGGACAGAGCAGGACCGAGGGGAGCAGGCCGAAAGGGTTAAAAAGAAATGTTTATTAACAACAATTTTTTTTTCAAGTGGCGCTGGGTGTCCGGGGAAGAGAGGGCTTGTGGAGCGAGGCAGGAGCAGGAGGCTGCGAAATTACGCAGCTAGGCGAGTTTAATGACCTTTTTGACAGAGACAAAGCAGTACTGATAGAGTAGATAAATAAACGGATCTGTCACCGGGCAGCGGCTAGGCTGTGTGCGAATTTATTTTTCTCATTTAAATAATTTGATCTATTCAATCATTTCCAATCTCTCCCATTTGCCAGCTGTCTGGTAAGAGGATGGTCCCCTACATCTGATGAACCAATCTTTAATTTTCTTACAAATAGATACTGTGTTTGAGCTCTAACTCTCCTGATAATTTTACCATCTTTTCTTTCCCTCCCTGTCTGAGTGCAGGGAACCTTGACACTGGGGAATGTGGCTGTGCAATTAGAAGGGGGCTCATTCCCTTCTGAAGAGGCAGCCTTGCCCTTGGGAGGAGACCGTCCCTGAGCTGCCCGCCCCCCAAAAAAGAGAGGGATGTGCATATTGGTTGCAGACGTCCGTGATCCGCAGACATCCTCCATCTGCAGACATCCTCTGTGATCGGCTGATACATGAAGGTTTCCAAATCTGAGTGTTCCCCAAGCAGCCACTGACAAGTGCTGCCCAAAGAACCAGAGGGAAAGACAGGAAGATCACAGCCATAGAAGTGGCCTCTGCCACCTCTCTCCATAGGGAGGAAGGATTTTAGGCAATAAGGATCCCATGGGCCCAGCAAGGATGCATGCGAAAGAGTGGAGTAGAGGACCGCAGGACACAGCTGGAGCCCCTTCACTGGAGACACACACAGAAGCCCATTGCCTGCATTCAGCATCCACAGCTGGCTTGGTTGCCTCATGGAACCAAAAAGGCCTGGCTGTTTTCTAAGAAACATAATTCCACACCCCGATGGAGAAATGGAAAGGGGTCTGAAATCAAGCCAAAGACACAGGGCTGAAAAGGCACAACCACCAGTCCCAGGGCTGACTAATTCTCAACTTCGTCCAGACTGTTTCCCTCAACATGAGAGGGGCAGGGTGCCTGGACAAGAGGCTAGGCAGAAAATAGAAGCAGGGGAAAGGTGGAGGCGTGGCCAGAGGGAGGAGCGCTCCTGAGGCCAGCTGAGGGAGACAAAGGGTGGGGAGGAAGAAGAGCAGGCTTCCTAAAAGCTACATTGGTACTGGAGGAGATGAAAGAAATCGCAGCTCTCCCAAGGGCCACAGTATGGCCCTATCACCAGAGCCCTTTCCCCGCCCCCAGGATGCAGACATCCAAGCCAGCCTCAGCAGCTGCATCCCGAACCAGGCAGGTTCCCCTAGCTAAGGATGGAGGTTTGCTTCTGGCCTCCTCTAACTTGCAGAGGCAATAGGGCTCCTACATTGCTGCCCTGCTGGAACTCTCTGGTTGCATTATGGATAGAAGTTGCTATCCCCAGCCCTAGAGGGTCTGGGCCTTGTTCTTGATCCAGCTGCAAGCCACTGTATAGCAGTGTCCCAAGCTGACAGCAGCCTGGTCCCTCCCAATCTGGGAAGGGGGATGTGCCACACAACAGAAACAGAAGGGATGATTGTCATGACCTCGTGTTTATTACATGTTTTCTGTGTCCCAGACTAGACACTTACAAGCTTGCCTATGTCACTTTACCCAGTCCTCTTTGCAAACCATCATGATAGAGTCTTTGATATTTTTGTGCTTTCTGCTCAGAGAGGTTAAGAAATCCATAGGCACACACAGTATGATCCCTCTCTTTCCTCCCTCCCTCCTTCCCTCCTTCCTTCTTTCCTCCTTTTCCTTCCTCCCTCCCTTCCTTCCTTTTTCCTTCCTCCCTCCCTCCCTTTTCTTCCTCTCTCCCTTCTTTCCTTCCTCCCTCCTTCCCACATCCTTTCCTCCCTTCATTCCTCCCCTCTCGTTTTCTTGCTTCCTTCCTTCATTCCTTCTTTGTGTCCTTTCACTTACATTTATTTGGCCATACTGTTTATCAGGCTGGATTCGCACACAGACCCAGCAGACCGCTAAGCTTGCAGGGTCACCCCTGTTGTGCCCTACACCAGCTGGAGCTAAGGACAGCTCTGTGAAGAGTCTCATGGCCTCTGAAGGCCCTGTATTCCCTGGCTGTTTACCAGCTGGGAGTAGATTGGGGTGGGGCCCTTCACTGGCACAAGCTGGAGAGCTCAGTTTCCCCTAACTCTCAAGAGAGCCCTGCAGCCCTCTCTCCAATCTTGTTTCAAGCCACCCCACAACTAGCAGGCACCAAAGCTGGCAAAATCTCAAGTTGCATCTCTGGGGATTAGGAGCCGCCAATCCTGGCTTTTGGAATTGTTGGTAAACAAGTCTACCCACCAGCCAGGCCTCCCTGCTCCCCCATGAGGCAGCCAGTGCTGGATTTATGCGGCCTCCAAACCTCATTCAGACTAATGCAGCTTTTCATTCCCAAATAAAAGGGGCCGCTGTCTGAAAGGACAAGTGCTCCCGCATTTCATTAACATCCCCTAAAACGGCTGAGCTGGCCCAAGCCGCTGCCAGTGAGATTCATATCTCCCACTGGCTCACAGGTGGGGGTGGGGGTAGGACTCTGAAGAAGAGGGTAATATTGTCACCCATCCCACCCCCACCCAGCTTCTCTTTCCACTTCCAACTTATGTGGTTAAGGAGGGGGGCCCCCAGGGGTGGCCATGCTGGCTCCTTGGGATGAGTCCCCTGCATGTGTGTTTTGTTTAGACTGATCCACTCAGCTCTCAGTCCCCCCCCCCCCCCACTCCCTGTGGGCCCCCAGGGGTGGCCATGCTGGCTCCTTGGGATGAGTCCCCTGCATGTGTGTTTTGTTTAGACTGATCCACTCAGCTCTCAGTCCCCCCCCCCCAATCACTGTGAGTGATGAGGCCCTGGGCTCGAGTTACTGAGATTCATGACTCCGCTTCCCAGGGAAGCCACTGAGCAGAGCGTGCAGTTACTGAGTGCAGATTCCTAGGACTTGAGTGCCCTCTGCTGAAGCCTGCCTACTGTTAGCTCCTTCTGGCTGCCCGGCAGGCAGGTGCTAGATAACTGGACACTGCAGCTCAGCCCCCCAGGGACTCCGGACCCTCCCCCTCAGTGTCCCAAAATAGGACCTGCTGGAACTGTGCTTTGCAACTGACTCTTGGGATGCTTTGGTGAAAATGGGGGAAGGATACCTTTCCCCTCTTATCCCAGGGGGCTTAGGGTGAAAAGAGGAGTTGCCTGCCCTTATATGATCTCTGCAGACTGCCCAAGCAGGAGGCAGAAAAGCAGAGGCCTCCCCAGGCCTCACTCTATTTCCCAGTGCCCTCTCGGTGGCTGACGGCATGCTCTTTACCAAAGACAAGGCTGGGCCCTTGCAGAACCTGTAGGCTCATCGGCAAGTATTAGCCCATCAGCCTGGGGCCTTTCTCCCTGATCCCTGTTCCAAGAAGGACAAAAGCAAAATGGGTCAACAACT